ACAATTATATTTGTAAAGTTTTTAACATCTTCATTTATAAATGAGGATGGCGTTATTCTCTTCGTCGAAGTACAAACGACGTCGCATCATGTAAATCAGAAGAATTACACGTGTTACTGGGTTGGTAGCTTCGATGCTTCCCCTGTCAACCTTGGATTCCATATTTGGGTCGGAGTCAATCTGACACGTGACTCACCATGAGTTTTATTTATTTATTTATTTATTTTTAATAATATATTAGAGATATATATATTTTTTATTATTGTTAATTTAATTAATTAGTTAAAATTTTGAATTATTTTTTAAATACTTAAACATAAATTAATTATTTTAACTTTTTTTGTTAAAATTAATAATTATTAGTATTTGAAATAAATAGAAATTATCGATAATCAAATTGTAATAAATGTAAAATTTTAAGAACTAGCAAATTATATTTTATTACCAAATATTTCTCTCTAAAATACTAATTAATTATACTAAGATAAGCTCATTAAGTTAATAAAATTTCTCTAATCGTGATCTAAAACACAAACAAATTAAGCAAGTAATTAGATGTGAAATGTTAGAATACACCCCTTTTACCTAATCTAATTTACAAAAGGCAATGACAAGAACGAACACTTGCGAGGAGACTCAAAGAAAGGTGCATGGATATGACACTTAGAGTAGATGACTCACCTAATTAATGGCTAATTATACTTTTATTAAATAAAATTAAGTTAATTAGGAGACTAAGAATTCACATAAACCAAATTAGGAAAAGGGTTCGATTTGATTTATTTATTTTTTTTAAAAAAAATTGGTTTTTAAAAATATTTAATTATAGTTTTAAGCTTAATTGGTTTTTTATTTTTTAATTTTTATAATTAATTGATTTAAATTATATATATATTATATTGTCACAAAATAATACCACTTTAGAAAATTATTTGTCTCTAATCTCGCATTTATTATTATTATTATTATTTTTTACTTGGAAAAATTTAGATTAAAACTATGTGCATCAAATTAATTGACATAATTATTAATTTTGTAAAGATATATCACATAATTTGACCTATTTATTTATTTATTTTATAATAATTGATTTAATTATAACAACCCGTGTTATTTTTTTTTTAATAATTGATTTCGTACACTCCATAATTGAATATAAAATGTATAGTTTATATACACTAAAGCTCTTGCTATAATATTCACAGACTTACATGCACCGTACCAATCATTTAGGGGTACGTATATATTTATAATTATAACAATTTTCATCTATGACCCCCGGCACATGTCATGGATATATCATATACATATATATATAATGTTTGATTTTTAATTTTAATTTTTGATAAATTTTCATTATAGGGTAGCAAATTTTGAAGACTTCAAGCAATTAATAAAGGGTTTTTTTTTTTAAATTGCAAATTTGAAATGTATAGATTTTATTTGTAAATTTATACTTGTTTTAATTAAAAAATTGCTAGAGTTTTTTATTTAAATAATAAACATTAAATTTATATGCAATTAATTGAAATAAAATATTTTAAATTTTATTATTTTTGAGTTAATTTTGTATGTGTTCTTGATATTTTACATGAAAACTCAATTTCTAATTATTTTTAAATATAATTCGTACTTATTGTATATATTCTTGATAAAGTTATATAATATTGGTTTTTTTTTTTTCTATTATATTTTTACTTGTTTTAAAACTTATATAACTTTCATATGTAAATATAAATTAAGAAAAAAAATATTCCAATAATATTTCATGCAATATTTTATTATATTAAAAATTAAGTTTGTATGTTTAATTTTTTTAATTAATTAATTTATTAATTATCACATATGATTAATTAAATTTATATTTTATATAAAGTAATAGTTTTTTTTTTTGGGCTTTCAATTATTATCCTCTCATACTTTTTATTTTGAATTTATTTGCAAATTTAAAAATTAATTATTTGTAATTATTTTTATATAATTAACGTAACAAAACCCACATAATTATATGCAAAATATATTTGTCTCCATCATCAGATTCCTCATCAATCACACTTACATGCAAGATTAGCTTTAAACTTCTTGTTAATTTGTCATAATTAGTGGTTAAATATTTAGATTATTAAAACTTAATATTGGTAATTTATTATTTATATCATATTTAAACTCCCTAAACTTTTGTTATTATCTTAATAATAATGTAATTAAAATTACTATTTATCTTAGCTATATTATCATAAGATTATATAAATTAATTCAAAAAAAATATATATATATATATAACCTACTAATAATAAGATAATTTAATAATCAAAACTCTTTTATTTTATATAAAAATTACAAATTTAAATTTTACTGACGGTGAAATACTTTCTAGTTTATATATATATTATAAATTAATTAATTTATAATATTTAATTATGATACAAAATTTATTTTACTATTATATTGATAGAGTTATATGATTAATTTTTAAAATTTAATGTTTTTTATATAATTATAATAATTATTTTGTAATTTTGTTCGCAGTATTTATTTATTTAATTTTTTGTAATAAATAAAAGTATGATTAAACTTTAAAGCCAATCTGCCACCTAATTTCTCGGTCTTTATCTACAGAAAAATAAATAAATAAGAAATTATCAAATAAGAAATGGGTGAAAGCAAAATCATCAAGTAATTTGAAAATCCCGTGCCGACCGGAAGACAAAGAAAGAGAAAAGAAATCACCACCAGAATCAACTGGCTACAGCCGGTAAATATACTCTTGGAAACCAGTTCTTCCGGTTATTCGAAATAAGTAAAGAAGGCCCCCCAATCTTCTTCTCCCTCGCTTTCACTGATTCGATCTTTACTTCTCTCTCTCTCTCTCTCTCTCTCTCTCTCTCTCTCTCTCTCTCTCGCGTTCCTGATAGGAAATTCACTATCTAGTTTTAGATCGACATTGTTCTTCAGTGTTCTGTTGAATTCACACTGTCCATTTTCTTGCATTTTCTTTCGTATTTTATATTCCATTTTCTCGGGAAAAAGAAGCATGGGAATTGTAAAGGATTGTGTCAGCTTTTTCCTCCATGTGGAGTCACTGAAACGATACAGTTTCAAACACCCACTTTTCTTTTGAGGTAAGTACATCTCTCTCTCTCTCTCTCTCTCTCTCTCTCTCTCTCTTTCTCTCTCTCGTTTTACACAATGCAGAGTGGAATCTCTGTGTTTCGAGGCTCGTTTGAATTGCTTCCAGTGAATATACAATGAAAAGTCTTTTTGCTATCAGCTGTATATAAAGCATGTAGGCTAGCTTTGCGAAAGAAAGTGAAATATTTTATTGAATTTAGTTTTCTTCCTGCTTTTCTAGGGTACTGGAGCTTGGCTGGAGCTTGACGATACGGTAAAATGGGGGGTTTTAGGGGTCTCTGTGAGGTGGGTGTTGCTTGATTTTGAGGATTAGTTGGTCGGTTCTTCAAGCTTCAGGTGAAAACCAGTGGTGTAAGTGTAAATTTATAGAGTTTGAGGTAGAAAACGTGGATATTTTCCTAGGAGCTCCAAGAGGCTATTTGATGATGTATTGCTGTTAGATAAATAATATTTGAGATTTAAGCTGCTTTTAGCTAATTTCAGCGTATTGTGAAGGGAAAAATGTGGGGTTCGATTGAGATTATATGTTGGTTTGGGATGATTTTTAAAGCTATTTCTGGTAATGTTATGGATTCAATCTAGCGGACGAGTAGGTGAACTGGAAATTTTGGGGGTTTTGAGGGAAGAAGGCTGATCTCCTGTAATATTTGCTTATTTGAAGAGAATTGTAATCCATGTCTGGTGGTCCGAGGGTGAGGTCTATGAATGTGGCTGACTCAGAGGGAAGACATGTCTTGGGACCTGCTGGGAACAAGGCTGGGTCATTGACTATGCTTAAACCGGCCTCGAAGCCTTTAAGAACGGTTGAGAAATCACCCATGGAAGTAACAGTTGCTGAGGAGAAGAAAGCTCATCCATCATCTACTGTTACTGCATTTTCTCCTAAAAAGCACTCCGTTAGTGTTCCTTCAGTGCTGCGGCGCCATGAACAGTTATTGCACTCTAATTTATCCTTAAATGCTTCGTGTTCATCCGATGCCTCTACAGATTCATTTCATAGTCGAGCATCCACTGGTCGGTTAACCCGGTCATATAGTGTTGGGAGTAGGAGGAAGCTATGTCCATCAAAGCCAAGAAGTGTTGTTTCTGAAGGTGGCTTGGAATCTCCACCCAATGGTTCACAGAATGAGAAGAGATGTGCATGGGTTACGCCAAATATTGGTGCGTTCTTATCCATTGGTCTTGAAATGATTTGTTATTGTTGAGTGCAGATATAAAATGAATCTTGTTCATTGGTTAATGTTCAACAGAAATAATAGTCATTTAAAGCTAACCAGAAATGGATTTGTTGTTAATATGGTTGTACCATTTCTGAAATGAAAATATAATTTATGAAAATGAAAGTCGGGTTCTTGAGTATCTTTTTACTGGATTGAGTCTTTCCGTACAGCCTGTTTTGGGACTAGTAGGTGTTGAGTAATGAGTTCAAATAAATTGATATCTTGTACATTTTTGCCAAACCTGATCCAACTTAGTGTGGTTCAGACAGGTTCATGGCTTCCAAAACTTGTAGGATTACTGAGGGCCTAAATTTTTTTATCTACAGTATGAGGAGCATAATGTGTGTTAATATGAAACTGGGTAGTTGCAATGAGTTATGAAATGGGAACCTCAAGCTTTTTATTGTTGGTTGCAAGATCCATATGCATTTTGAAACCAATGTTATCATTTTAATTTTTCACCATAGGAACCCACTGAAAGGACATCTGTCTTGTCGCTTGCAATGATTAATTTTTCCAGGCATGTATGGCATATGCATGCAAATGTAAAAAGTATGTACAAAACTGTTTTATTTTAGCATCATATTTGTTAGTAAAGAACATATTTTCTCCTTATTTCAATTTTGTTTCTCAATAATTTGGATATTTTGAGCCAATTGCACTTTGTGTATCATGCATTTGATCCATGTTTCTTTTCTTCTTGCTGGTGAAAACTAGAGATATGTTTATCGTAAATCTAAAATTACATCCCCTCATACATTCAAATCTTGAAATGAAGGAATACGTATTAATGCACAAAATGCTGAGTTGCATACGTAAGTTAATTGTGCTCACCACTTTGTTACAACTTCATCGAGGAAACTGATTCAAGGTGTTAACGGTTGGTTGAGGCTTGTTTGAATAAGGCGTTGACTATTTGTTGTATGTTGAAATCAGATCCATGTTATGCTGCTTTCCATGACAAAGAATGGGGAGTTCCAGTGCACGATGACAAGTATGCCACCCTATTTGTTTGCATTGAAAAGGAAATAGTTTCCTGATTTAGAATTCCACTCGGAACACTGTTTGAACTATGTTCATGTTTATGCAGGGGATTATTTGAGCTTCTCGTACTTTCTGGTGCTTTGGCTGAACTCACATGGCCTACAATTCTAAGCAAAAGGCACATTTTTAGGTATTATTTCTGTCAAATTCCCATCTTGTTCTTTGTTTATGCAGACCCATCTCTCAAGAGTGTATTTACTATGTTAAAGTCACAATCATTATTACTTTCCCCTTTCTTGATGTCTTCAGTTAGTGTTGTTGTATGACAAGTGTGCTCTTATTCAGGGAAGTTTTTGCCGATTTTGATCCCGTTGCAGTCTCAAAATTTAATGAAAAGAAAATAGTAGCACCCGGGACTGTTGCCTCATCCTTGTTATCCGAACTTAAGTTGCGCGCGGTCATTGAGAATGCACGCCGAATTTGTAAGGTAGGATCTTTCTTTCTTTTTCTTTGATTTTTTCTAACTCCCTTCTGAACCCTTGTTTGAATTAACTTTTTCTTCACGTCCCCACCAAAAGATGGAGAACAAGAGGTAGAAAAACAGTGTTTACCTTGTATTATAAGAACTTTTGGTTCATAGTTCTCAATGATTTCTTCCATTATCTGGATGCTAACGGCAGAATATTTACATCAACATACAATGAATCTTGTCAAAGTAAACCTGGTTGAATTGAAAGGTTAAATTTTTTTATAGCATTTTGCTGTATTGCAAAATGATAGAACCCGTAAAAATAATTCATTTGCAAGTAGGATCACTTTGTGTAAATTTTCTGATGCATAGTACCTGGTTGGATCATTATACCCTTAATTTAGTTCGAAGATTAATTGAGCTATTTTATCTTGATTGTACTGGAAACTTAATGACACATAAGACGATAATCAACAATCATTTTGATCAGGTTGGTTCGGTAAAAAAAAAAATTGTGGTCCTGAAACTTAAGTATTTTGTATGAACCATATAAACCATAATACAACAGCAGTGTGACTTGATGTCCTTGTGGCTATTTTTAGCATTGACTTAATTATTCCTTTCCTCTGGATGCCAGCTCAATTAGTCAATTTCACAAGTTGACCACCGGCCTTCTCTTTTGATAAAGAAAATGGGTAAACTACATTCTACATTTTTATGCCCTGTGTTTGGTCTTATTGCCATTAAATCCTTGTAGAGTTCTTTGTTTTCTGTAAAATTTTGATTTTTTAGATGGCACTGTAGGTATCTAAACTTTTAGGCATGAAATTTTGGAAGTTCAAACTTTAAAGAAAAATCAAAATTAGAGAGAAGAAAAAGGTTGAGATAATGAGTTGAAGCTAATGGTTTTATATAGAATGAGAGAAAATATACACTCCTTAGTTGCTTTGATTATGATTGCAACTAACTTTTTGCAGGTTTTGCTGATGCCAGGTCGTAGACGAGTTTGGTTCATTTGACAAGTATATCTGGAGCTTTGTAAACCACAAGCCTATAGTTAGCAGATTCCGATATCCTCGGCAAGTACCTGTTAAAACTCCGAAAGCAGATGTCATTAGCAAAGATTTGGTAAAAAGAGGATTCCGGAGTGTTGGGCCTACAGTCATCTACTCTTTCATGCAGGTGGCTGGGCTAACAAACGACCATCTCATCAGTTGCTTTAGATTCCAGGAGTGTATAACCGCCGCAGAACGGAAGGAAGAAAATGGGATCAAGGATAAGTCTGCGGATAAGAAAAACGATGACACAAATGAATCAGAATTATCGATATCCATTGACAAACTGACTTTCTCCTCGGAATGATGAATCAAGGACAGTCTTGGTTATCGCCTGATGGAGCTCCAGGTTTCAGTCATCAGATCTACCTGGTTCAGGGTTACTTTTTGGTCGTTACTAAATGTGTTATTTTGTGTATAAAACTCGATGAAGTTGCTACTTGTAGTGGATTATTAGACTGTAGATTACTGAAAATGAATTAAAATTAACTGGTGATTTGTGCTTGTGATGGGGACCCTTTGAAAACGAGGCGGTTGATGTACAATTTTTTGCAGAGTTGTTGAAACGGTCAGTGGGTAGAAATGATCTAAACAAGGGCATTAGGAGAAGCAAAATTTGCTGTAGGATCTATCGCCATCAGGTTTCACAGGCCTTTAAAGTTATGGAGTGGGGCTTGTCGATGGGGGAAAACAAACCCCAGAATTTGCTGGACAGCTAGAGCTGAAATGGGTATTACCAGTCTTATTTTTGTGCTTTTAATGGTTGACAGTAATGGAGTGGGGGCACAATGTTCAATTGTCTTGTCCCCATAGGATGGAGTAGGACTCTTAATCATAAGACACATTTGTGGAGTTGGACCCTCATTGACAGATGGTGTAGGGTATTCCCTGTCTCCTGTGCTCTGTCTTGGAAAATATCTAGGCACTGTCTCTACATTCTTACCAAACAGAGAAGCAACTTGGAACGAAATGTCTGTAGATCCCTGCACAAGCAGAAGCTATTTCCTTAGAATAGGACCAGTAGAATTCATAGGCTTGAATTAACAACTCGTAAAATAGAAGTAAACAGAAAGACTTACCTTGTTAAATCAAAGCAGAATTGCAACTCAACTGCCCGGAAGTTGAATTTTGCTGCCTCACAAGATGCTCTGAGTTTACAATGATACAGATTCTATTCCAAGTCTGGTAAAGGGATTCTGTAATTGAATAAGTTCGAAATTGCTACTGAATTCCATTCATGTGTGAAATATAAGTCAACTTATAGAAACATAAAAAGCAAGATCCATAAACTGGTTACTGGTTCTCACATCCGTTCACCGTTCTTGTTTGAGATCCCGGACATATAGAACTTATCCCAAATTGCATGTTTGACTGTTGAGAGTTGGTCTGAATGCTTGAAGGGTGGGTCATTTTGGTTCATTTCTCTTTATTTTTTAATCAAAGAATTAATGAACCGTAGAGAAACCAAGAGCCAAGAACTTCTCTATTGTTCTACTATTACTCTGCTCCAAACAAAGTCAAGAAGGTGTACAAATACCTATTATACAACTGTTTACTAGAAGCTACAGAGAATAAAGATACAAAAAGGAAAAAAAATCAAACCTGACAACCAAATCATTTTATAGAACAGCTGCATCGTTTTCATACAAGGCCCACGAGTGATAATTTTATGATACTCTGTGTGAGGTAATAGTTTTCAGCAGGGCTTGATTTCGAATCCAATGCTGAGCAGAGTTCGAGCTGATTCAATTGCTTTCTCACCTCCAAGGTCCAAGGCCTCACCGGTCAATTCACCTTCTGTGCCCAGTGACCACTGGGTTGATGATTTTTGGTTCTGGGCTGTATCAGTTTTTTTAAATGGCAGGTTATTCATGGAAACAGGAGCAGCCGCAGCAACAAGAGGAGCACTAGGCAAACCATGTCGCTTCTTTGGTACAGGCATGTCATGGTCATGTACACCCTTGTATGTTATAATAACAGCACTTGTGTTATCTACAGCTGTCTCAATGTGTTTACGGACCGGACATCCAGCAGAGGTGCATCTGTAGTAATTCCTGAAAATTCATTCAATTTGCAAATCAAAACAGAGAGAAGAGGTTTTACATGGATAGGGTCAGAATTGGAAGGTAAAACTCACATGAAAGAATAAACATGCAGCTCCAAAAGTTCGGGTTAGGAGAAAAGTAAAGCATATTGCATGACTATTATCTGAGGATTATCATCACTAGTAAAGGATTTGAACCCCATAATTAAATTCCACATATGGAGACCTTTGCCACTACAGAGAGATGTAGTCAAGGTCTGACTCTTTTAACGACACTATGTTCTTTCAAAGTCGTTCTTAAGCTTGTGCAGTAGCAAACAGCTGAAAAGAAAAGACAACCTTCAAAATTTGGCTAGAGTTACAGCAAACTTCTAAGAGTGACATGAATGACATCTAAAGGTGCTCAAAGAAGGGAAGAGGTAGGCTCTACAGCTAAAAAATTTATTTCTAATCAATTCTTTGTTTGGAAAAATGAATTACCTTATGAACTTGTTTGGAATTTTATTTTTTATACTTGGTCAAATATGAAAACATAGCAATTCAGTTCCAAAAAAGAAATGAAACAACACATTTCAAGTTTCACCAGAATTAATGGAACTTGGAAATGAATTATGATGATTTAAAAGATAGCTATTTAGGGTTTAGTTTCTAGCTTAGGAAAGCATCTTGTGTAATGCTAAAAGTACTTCACATAAGTAAAATTTCCAACTGCATTCCATAAAAGCAAATCCTTGTTTACAAATATGAACATAGAATTTGATCTAACTTAACCATGTTTCAAAACTAAATTTACATGGGTTGGCTGCAAATGACCTTTGCCTCTTGTTTGGCATTTTCAGAACTGATAGTACATTGCCACTTAAACTTGTCATTTGTAGTGCTCTAATATTTTTCCTAAATTCTACTTCAACCAAATTACACTTTAAATAATTTAGTGACAGAAAATTAATTGATAACATGAGGATGAGAAAATTTTTAGGCAGATCCTTCTGTGATGTAGCACGGCACTCAGCAGAATAGAAAATTAAAAAAAAAAGAGATAAAAATTAAAATTAAAATGCTAATCCCCAATAAGAGATTCACAGGACCCAAAAGAAAAACAAAATCACAGGGTTGTGAAGCAGCCAACCATGAGATAATGCACATACAATTCATACCGAGATAACACGCAGACAATTCTCTCCATAAGCACTTCCAGAGGGGGAACAAAAGTCTATCCATAATCAGTCTGAATATAAATAGGCCATCGCCCATATATTTATAGTGTCTCTAGATAACTAAACTCTTATGGTATAGCTAAAACATCAAAAAGGAAATGAACAGTCTAGGAAATCAATGCCGTAACAAAAACTAAATGAAGTTTCTAATTAATTCATAAACTGCTAAACTACTTGATAATTCCTAAGCAAGCAAAACATGCCTAATAATATATGAAGACCAAAATTACATGATTATTTCTTAAAGTTGTAATCCTTCCATTTCAGTGTTTTATTGTTCTGCAATATTTTACCCTTGACAGAAAGAGCAAAAAGATGAATAGACCATAAAAGCAAGTGGTATACATCTTGTTCTAGTTCCATCTTGAGGTGGATAAACATACTCCGCCATTTCCACCTAACCTCTTTCAGAAATGCAAGTTTACATGATAAGAGGTAAACCCATGCAGTTTACAATTCCAACATAAACCAACTAAAATCTTGTAGACATGGTTGAAAAATAAAACCCTAAAAACGAACAAGTATAATAATTTTTTGTTGGGCTAAAACATCAAACTTACAATTAAAAAGACCAAGACAGTCAAATCACCTGGGGTTAGGATTTCCCTTAACCATCTTCTGTCCGTACTTGCGCCATCTGTATCCATCACCAGAAATTCCCACATCACCAGCTGCATGCACAACAAATTTTGGCTTCTTCCCAGGTTTCAAGAGATCCGGGCATGCTGAGTTACCCTTTTTCAGTCTGGTCACGAAGAAGAAAAGAATGTTGAGTCAGATTATATTCCACAATGAAATTAAGAAATATAGGATCAGTTCCACAGAGCTAAAATAATGGGCCAACTTGCCTTTTTTTGGCTTCTAGTTCATTAATCTGCTCCTCCTTGACTTCTATTTCACCACTCCCATCAGATCCACTCGAATTCTGCCTTTTCCTTTCAGGAATTATAGGGATTTCATGCATAGGTACTTTTGTCGATGTGGATGGATCTGAATCACTAAGCAACCTAATAGGCTGTTCCGTTGCAGTATCCCCTAAAGCAGGCGCGGCAGATGACAAAAGCCTATTTTCTTTCATGCAGTTATTCTTTCGAGGTGGATCATGACTATGCATCCCTTTATTAACAACCTCTATGACATGGCCTGAATGATCAGAGCACTCAATTTTTTTAGCTGAGCAATTGGAATATGTGCATTTGTAATAGCTTCGGGAACCCTTTGGACTTTTCACTTGTTTCTGACCATATTTTCTCCAGTTATAACCATCAGAGCTAGGCGTCTTAATTATAGGAACAACAGTAAGAGTTTTAACTTTTGAAGAATTTAGCTGGTCATCTTCTGGCATGCATACACTGTTAGCTTTCTGGGGGGCCAATCTTTGTTCTTGTACAGTTGGACTTGGAGCAGATGATATAGATTGTGTAACAGAAGTTGGTGATAATTCAGACAAGGAAGTTGTACAGATAGAGGACTGTAGTTGATTTTCTGGCTGTGCTTCACCACCCTGAGGTGTTGCACCCGCTAAATCTTCCTGGTGAATTTCCCTGGCTCTCTCCTGAAATAAATAAACAAAAATGAAGTGAAAAGATTCAAAACCATGGAATCATTATTTCCCAACAAACAATATTATAGCTTTGGTGAAAATTAACCAGGCTTTCAACAGGATGTTAACTGTATACCAATCAAATACAGGATTGGCCTACAGGATACCAACTGTAAGGGCCTAACCTCATCTCTCAAACTAGCTGAGTGAGTGCAGGCCTGATGCATACATGACTAATAAATAGGTTTGAACACAAACAACAAATTAGTTATCCTGAGTTTAAAATACCTTTAAAACATTGATAACTTTTCGACAAAATACCAAATAGCTAAAAGAGACATAAGAAACAAAATATTGATCATATAGAAAAAGCAGTCTGATAACCAAGAAACAGTATATGCAGTAAAAAAATTGATTAGATGGAAGCGCCACCCCTACAAATCTACGTAGCAAATTATTTGAACTGGTTCTCGTATGGGTTTGCTTGGATTCATTTTGGTTCTCAATCCAGATCTAAAAAGTAGGGACCCTGAATTAAGAAGAACTGGGACAAGTTGGTGGAGTAGGATTCTAAGATAGTGAGGAAAAAGGTACAGAGAGAGAGTGAAAAGTTTACATTATAACAAGCACTTCCTCCCAAATTGAGATTACTCACAGGTAAAAGGGAAAAGGTAGGTGTCCAAATGAGGAACAAAAGTCCGTCAAACAACATTTTCTTTCTTGGAGCTTAAATGAATATTGATTACCTTCTTTGAAAATCTATAATACATAACTCAATTATTTAAGAATTGTAACAGAAGCATTGCTATTTTTGTTGTAGCTATGAAAAAGGATTTGAATCCTAGAATTCTTCTCATAGAAAAAGAACAAGAACCTTTAGAGCAGAATGGATTACTAAATTACTACTTATGATCCAAGTGATGAACATACTAAATGTTTGAATCAAGAATGTACCAAGGAAATCCATCCCTCTGCAAACAATAAATTTAGCATACATCATATTTCATCCCTGTACCCTGTACCACATTCCGTACTAAATATTTGGTAACTATTGGTGCAACAGAAAAAACTTGTAACTGGCAAATTTTTCAGAAAGCGACTGCCAATTCAGACAATATACCATATGTGCTTATAGTTCCTTACATCACAAGAAAGTCCACAAAAGCGTATTTAAACAGGATCTGAGGCCACAAATGTACTTCCTTTATTACCAAGCAGAATTTTTCAGGACCATTTTACGTTTTGATTGGATGCTATTTCACTCTCAGAAGAGCATATATGGCCCGTTTCCTCCTGGAGAAGTAACATCTTAATCTAGGCCAAAATGGCAAGAGTGGAGTTTTTTAACCATCATACTTTCTTTTATTATGTCCTCTCAAGATCACAATCTCATTTAGGGGACCTTCCGTCGAGCCCAGATACGACTTCGGTAACTGACATGTTATAGCAACTCCACCAATTCCAATATTTAGAAGTTCAGAAAATGAGAACTATTACCAGAAGATTTATAGCAGACCACTAGAATGGTTTTACCGGAGAAAAACCTCCAGTTAAATTTCTAAAGACCAACATTATGTACCAACCAACTGTAAAAAACTGAAGTGGAGCTTGAAAACTAGGAAGTAGTTGGGTCTTATTTCAAGGAAACCAGATTCAGTACCAAATTGGCATCATGCATACTGTATGCTTTTATATTCGACAACTATTAATGGTTTTCCACAGAAGGCATTGTGATGTAAATGGTAGATAACAATTTTTGGAGAAGATTATATATGGTAGATAATCTTATAGAATAATGTTTTCCTGAATCTGAGATATCATCAAAAGTCAAATACTATGCGAAAATGACAAAAGAAAAGTTGGAGATATTCCTATCTAACACAATCAAGCTCCTTGCCTCGTTGACGAGCTCCATTGCTCATGAAAGGCATTAACCTTTCCAACATTTCACATGAGCGATCTGTTTGAGACCTCCAATATCCCAATCAAACTATTTTAATACTTGGGACATCAGAAATTAAAAACTAATGGTCATTTTCATATGTATTTGCCCTTTTTTGTAGGCTGCTTATTCATACTGTATCAAGCAAGCAAAGCAAATTCAATTGTCTAGTACTAAACAGTTGTGAGCTACAAGATTTCCCCAACTTACATAGAAAAGCAGGAAATAAAATATAATTGAACAAGAATCCTTTTTTAAAAAAAAAATTAAGATACACTAACTTGAACTAGAGCATTCTAGCATTTTGCCATTCTTTTCACTCTATCCACTCAATGCAAGATATTAAAATATTTGTTAGATGTCAGAATTTGCCTTTACATTCACATTTAAGCATCTTAAATATTTCATCAGTCCCTAATAATCTTCTTTCGGAAAGCCAGCCTCGGGATCTAGAATATCCTTATTAGCTACCTCAACAATTAAGATCAACATATTGATCCCTCCTCACTGTGTTGTTCAGAAGGCAGTTCTAAGATGTTAATTCAATTATTATGACAGATTCAAAAGGAATTCCTGTCATTACGAATTTCATATTTTCTAAAGCTTCCTTATGAACAAATGAGATCATCTTTTTCCAATTGCGAATTACTGCTTTTAATTCTCTATTAAATGTAGTAGGATGCAGAAAACACTCTTATGCGATATTACTCTCAAAGTTTCTGTGGTTTTCCAATATCCTTAGTTCTTAGATAACCCATATAACTGAAGTGAAACATTGTTTGGTACATGATATCCCTCAAACTTCCAGGAAATGCCCTAACTATCTACTTATACAAATTCCATTGTAGATTAATACTAAGGTTTACATAGAACTCTAAATACAATCCATAAAACTAAGAAAAGAAGCCACGCTATGAATTAATAAATATATATACGAATTGTTACGGATAAACCCTTGATAAACCTCCACTCATGAACCACTAAAACCCTAACATCAAATATATCTGTAAAGAGAACAGAAGAGAATTACCAACGAATTCCGAACACTTAATAAGCTCTTCCACCTTGTTTTTTCGTTTTTCTTTTTTCTTTTTAAAGATAAAAGAAGCTCCTCTGATATTAAAACAAAAAAGCAGCACTTAAATATTAAACCAAGGAAACAACTAAAAGTGCAAAAAAAGAAAAAACAACAAAAATAAAACACTAAGCGGGAGCGAACTCGAGCTACTAACCTTCAACTCAGCTTCTCCATTAGATTCCGCATCAGAATTCTTCTGCAACCCTGGCAGATCACCCCAGCAACGAGAAACCATTTTCACAACAAAGTCACCGTGAAAACAAATTCGGCATAAGAAAACAAAAACCAAAACCTACCTCCAGGCTGATCCTTCTCTAGGGTTTCCAGCGAGGCGTCTCCAACCTCGGCTTCATTATGAGGCACGGATGTCGGAAACTCACCTCTCCGTGATATCTGACCGAGTTGACTCGCTTCATTTCCTAATTCTTCAAACTCGTCGTTTGGTTCCTGCTCGTGTCGTTCCCGGCGTTCCACTTGAACAGCTTTACAGGTCTCGGCCTCAGCCATGACCAATTTTCTTCTCGCGAAGAGACAGAGAGTAAAGTAAGTAACAGTTTCCGGATACTTATACGAGTCCGATTTTTGGAGACAGAGGAAATCCGCAGCGACCGAAATTTTTCTGATTTTAAAGTGAATCCAAGAGAAAATAGATTGGGGGGGGGGGGGGGGGGGGGGGACACACAGAGAAAGAGAGAGAGTGGAAGGTTGCTTTAAAGCGAAGAGAGAGAGAGCGAGCACGTTGTGTCGTATTGGGGGGTATATGTGTCTTTGACTGGAATTGACTCAGGTGGTTTCTCTGTGTAACAAACTTCCGTTGTTATTCCGTTAATTGCGGGGCGGGGATCACCGTTGGTTCTGTTGACTTGACGAGTTCCGTAACGGTGAAGGTGGCCGTTTGTTTCCGCAGATTTGACTCGGACACACTGACCTCTCTCTCATTTTTTTAAAAAAATTTAATTTATTAAATGTATTATTAATTGCAATATTTTGCTTCACGAGAATTCGGTGCTAAGATTAAAATTTTGCTTAAATTATTAAATTAGTAAGTAAAATAATTGTGTTATATTTAAATATTTAAAAAATTAGAAAAAAAAAATTATTTAATTAATTAAATTAATACGTTATTAAATTATGATTCCATTTTTCTTTTTTTGAATCATTCTTAAAACATCTCAAAATAAATTAATTATTTTAAGTTTTCTTTAAAAATTACATTTTTGAAATAAATAAAAAATGTAAAATATCAATACTAAATTGTACTAAAAATATTATAAATTAAATTATAAGAAATAATAAATTTTAGAGATTAATTTAGTAATTTGTTGATAGTTTCTAATAATACACAATTTAAGGTAAAGTAATTTAATTAGGCAATTGGGTTTGTGAACAAAAAGCCCATTATTGAATTGGACTTTATTACCTTTTAATTTGAGTTATTCATTTAAAAGGAAAAGCCCATAATTAATTTGGATTTAATCCATTTAATTGTGGGCTATATATTCTTTTGAGGAAAAAGCCAAGTTTTAAATTTCTAAATATTATTTTTTTCAAATACATTGAAAATAAATATAAAATTTATATGAAATTTATATTCACCAAAATAATACTTAACAACAACAAAAAATTATTTAAAATAATAAAAATTGGGTTTATATATATATATGTATATATATATATAACTTTATATGAAATTTAATCAAATATGTTTTAAATTTTATTAAATTTGGTAGAATATATAATACACAAATCCAAAATCAAAATAAATAATTTTTATATTATGCTCAATTATTAATTTTTTTTATAAGTCCATATGATAATTAAAACAAATATAAATTTACCAATAAAATTAATATAAATTTCGAACTTTTTTAAAACATAACCCGAATTCATAAATTTAATAATTTAATGATTATTTATTTGAATTTTTATATATTTTTGTATTTTACATAATTATTTGAGATTGATACGAATAAATAAATGCACGAGATTTTGCTTATTTAGTAAAAAATAAATTATTTATTTAAATTATATTTTATAGTATGAAATTATTTAGTGAGATATATTTAAAATCACCCATGTGAACATAATTATATTCATTAATATTAAATATCATTTTTTAGAAACGTTTCACCCACTAATTTTTTTTATTAATAATTTTATTTTCTAAAAAAATAGAGATCATTTTCATTTTTGTTTTTATTTGGGAAATTCAAAGATGATGTAATATTAATAAAATTGCGTAAAAAATATTATATATTAATTTATTTAAATTATTAATAAAAATGGAGTAATTAATAAGTTTATATCTCTTTCTTTCAACGCTGAATCAGAGTGGAAGAGAAAAATTCGTGGTCGACGGAAGATCACACAGTTCAATGTTCTCCACTAGAATAAGACACAAGAAAGTAAGAAATACAGTCAACATATTATATAATACTATATGTATATGTATATATATATTACTACATGTAGAGGTATATGTAAAGCAGGTACAGCAATGGGGAATGAGATTGGAAAGTTGCGAGAGCGATTACTGACACTGTATTGCTGTGTGTGTAGGGAGCTCGTTGCATCTCTTTCACTGCGATTGTTGCTCGTCCGGTTCCTCTCGCAGCCTCTGATTTATCATTTTAACCAGGTTTTGTCCTTAGTTTAATTTCCATGGTTGCTCTAAATTAGCCTTGATTATTTGAGGCCGTCTTCGTTTTCATGTAGTTCTGTTAGGTTTATGAATAGTTGTATTAGAGGGAGTTTTTAGTTTTCTGCGTGATTAGCTTTCTGTTTGGTTGCTGAGAAAGTGTTAGGTCATAAGTTTCTATTTTAGGAAGAAGAAAACTGAAGCTCTCCTTTGATTCTGGAAAATTATTGGTTCAGGAAATAAATTTAGAGGTAACTTGATTTCTTGAGAAAAAGTTCTGGACTAAAAGCGAACTACGGTGACGGAAATGAAGTTTTCATGTTTGAAGTTTTCTTTAACATACATTTTCCCCGTGACGGAAATGAAGAGTTATACTGTCAACGTCTGCTGGAAATTTCCTACTTGTGTTCTACAACAGAGTTTAACTCTAGATCATAAAGCACAAAAAGAAAAGAAAATGAAAAAGTGTCTGGTGAAGGGTTGTCTAAAATTTAATTCATCCATGAAGGAACTCTGATACAGAGCTCATTGTTAGTGGTGCTTATATGACATGTTCTAAGCGGTTTGGCGGAGACATTAGCACGAGCCTGGCTCATTATATAATTTCTCTGCAGAGAAGGGAGAATGAGACGCTGTTAGGCACCATTTTAATAGGGGCCCAGAGGAGACTGGCGAAATTTCAGAAGTCAAAATGTTTCCTGTTAGAGACTTTAAAAAGTAAGGGCGGCCTCAGTTGGATAAACCTTTGAAAGTGGATTGTTGTTTGCCATTATAGAAATTAGTGGGATTTAAGTTGCAGCTTATCACTTTTTAATAGCTTTGATAATGCTTCTAGCACGAGTTTCACATATTCATGTGTGGTTGCTTCATTTTTTGTTAATCGGTCCCACTGTTTGCTGATTTTTGTCTTGCCTAACATCAATCTTGGGAAAAATGGAGAAAATGCATTCGACACTCCTTTTCCTTGGTTTATTTTTATTCCATTCATATGTCTTGAGTTGGCTAATTAGTGAAGCTTGGCTATATTATAAGTATCTGTTTTCCTGAAGTGATTGTGTTATAGCTTTTTCTAACTGGAGCGTCGAAGGTTACTCCATTTTTGGTTGCGGGAGACATCTTTTTGGGACAGTTTATGTTGATATTTTTCCTTGACTTTAAGTGATCTTTGTTCATGTCAGGGGAAATATGGAGGAGGCACCATCCAAGCCATCTTTTCCGGTGGCAGACTGGGTTTCTAAGGTTAAGGCTATGGCATGGGAAGCATACAAAAGGAAGCCAATATCTCATTGGATACTTCTGGTTTTCAGTAGTGGAGCAATGCTTGTAGCATTTCCTGCTTCAAGCCTCCTATCCCGTGTTTATTTTGCTGATGGGGGCACAAGCAAATGGATCATTTCATGGGTGGCTGTTGCTGGCTGGCCTTTAACTGCTCTAATACTATTTCTTACATACTTGTTTCGCAAAACTCTTCCAACTCCTCTAACCTTTAAACTCATCCTTTCTTATCTCCTCCTGGGTTTCCTAAGTGCTGCTGACAACCTTATGTATGCATATGCATATGCTTACCTCCCTGCATCGACTGCTTCTCTTCTAGCATCATCCTCCTTGGTGTTTTCTGCTTTATTTGGATATATTATTGTGAAGAACCAACTGAATGCTTCTATGCTTAATGCTCTTGTAATTATAACAGCTGCCATGACTATAATTGCACTAGATTCTGACTCCGATAGATACAGTTATGTCAGTAACAAGCAATATATCATGGGTTTTGTGTGGGATATCCTAGGATCTGCACTCCACGGGCTCATCTTTGCTCTTTCGGAGTTAGTTTTTGTCAAGTTACTTGGTAGAAGGTCGTTTCATGTTGTTCTAGAGCAACAAGTTATGGTATCTTTCTTTGCCTTTGTATTTACCACTATTGGAGTCACAGTGAATAGGGATTTCCATGGAATGGTATCTGAAGCTAAAACTTTTAAGGGCGGTAAAGCATCATACTACCAGGTTCTCATCTGGGGTGCAATTACATTTCAGCTAGGTGTGCTGGGAGGCACCGGTGTCCTTTATTTGTCTTCCACTGTGATGGCAGGTGTCGTTAATGCAGTGAGAGTGCCACTCACGAGCATCGCTGCTGTCATATTGCTGCATGATCCGATGAGCGGCTTCAAGATCCTCTCCCTAATTATTACCTTTTGGGGATTTGGTTCCTACATCTATGGCAGCTCTTCCGTTAGCAAGGCCACTCATGATAATCTTCCTCCTCAGCGAAGTCTTCGATTGATTCTTATTCCGGAAGAAACCAGATTATTCAATTATTTACTAGTAGCTAGACTGTTATAGCTTCCTACTTATGGTGTTTATCGCAAATGATCGAACACAACATGTTCACAGATACACAGCTTTACTTTGGTTGCTGAAAATTTTCATGTTCTCTCGGAGGCATCATATCTCCTTAATAGTTTTCTGATATTTCATATTAAATCTAGTAAGTAATGCCATAATTACTTCATAAAATTACTAAATTACATTAAAATGTTAGAAAATTATAGTGAGAGATAATGCTTCCTGAGTCAACAATGTTAATATCCTTAGTTGGAGATATTATGAGAACTGGCACTTTTTTTTTTTTTAATTTTATTTAAAGTCCATGTAGTTTACTTTTTAATTAACTAATGATCTAGCATTTTCAATGAGGTGTCGACTATAAGGCTCCCTAAGGTCTTAATCATGTTTGCTTTTCCAGTCCGCCCAACGAGAATCACGTCTTTTGTCTTTTGATTTGATGCATTATTTTATCTACTTTACCATCCACACCGACATGGTTGAAATAATATAAGGGTTTTGGCATCAGATACTCAAAAGTTTAGAACGTAGAGACAAGTAAAGGGATCCGGCAGAATTGTTAAATAGAAGAGCTGGTGTTTGTGATTAGCAGAAGATCCAGAGAGGTAAAAATGGCTGAGACAGCAGTGAACTTAGTTCTTGAAAAGTTAATTCCCTTACTAACCCAAGAAGTGAATCTACTAGGCAGCGTCCATAGAGAAGTTGCTGACATCAAAGATGAACTGGAGAGCATCAGATCGTTCCTCAGAGATGCAGACACAAAGATGGAGAATGAAGAAGACAATAACCACGGACTGGAAACTTGGGTGAAACAGGTAAGGAGAGTAGCATGGCGAATGGAAGATGCAGTTGATCAGTACATTCTTCGTGTGGCTAAAAACTATGATCAACGAGGATTCAAGGCAGTCATTGGTAAAATCTCTGGCTTGGTCAAGAATCTGAGAGCCCGGCATAACTTAGTCACAGAGATTCTAGACATCAAAAGATCGGTCCGTGAAGTCAATGAAAGAGGTGAAAGATATAGCTTCACTTCCCTAGAGGGAGGAGGATCGGGCAGTTCCGGAAGAGCCAAGAAAGACCAAGACCCAGTTATAGGTTCTCTGTTTCTCGAGGAAGCTGAGCTTGTGGGAATTGAAATGCCCATAGATGAGCTTATAAACAAGTTGGTTGATGGAGAACCCCATCGCGGTGTGGTTTCAGTTGTTGGCATGGGGGGCTTGGGTAAGACCACTGTTGTCAGGAAAGTATTCTGTGACCAGAGAGTGATAACAGATTTTGATTGCCAGGCTTGGATTACTGTGTCTCAGTCGTATGAGAAGGAGGAGCTCTTGAAGACTATGATCAAGCAATTTCATGAAGCGAGGAAGGAATCTGTACCAGATGGACTTGAGACAATGGAATTGGAGATGCTAATCAAATTTCTAAAGGAATATTTGGCACAAAAGAAGTATTTGGTTGTGTTTGATGACGTGTGGAGTGAAGAATTTTGGGAACAGGACATAAATCATGTTCTACCACTTAATAATGGTAGAGGTGGTAGAGTATTGATCACCACACGCAGTGAAGATGTTGCTCCTTCTTCTGAAGAATCTCCTTTTTATCATGTACACAACCTCTCGCCCCTACCAAAAGACAAAGCCTGGGAGCTATTCTGCAGGAGGGTATTCAAGTGTCAAGGAGGCAGTTGTCCAGAGGAGTTGAAGGAGCTTTCAGAGGATATTGTTTATAGATGCGAAGGATTACCACTAGCAATAGTAACAATTGGTGGTCTATTGTCAACCAAAGCCAAGACTGTCTCCGAATGGCAAAAACTGCATGACAGTCTTGGTTCAGCTCTGGTATGCAACTCACGTCTTAAACCAATCTTAAGCATTCTATCACTCAGTTACCGTAATCTGCCACACTACCTCAAGCCCTGCTTCTTGTATTTTGGCATTTTGCCAGAGGACTATGAGTTCAATTATGCATCCTTGCTGCGACTATGGGTAGCTGAAGGGTTTATAAGAGAAAGAGGAGGTATGACATTAGAAGAGGTAGCAGAAGAATACTTGACTGAGCTAGTTCGTAGGAGCTTAGTTCAAGTCACACGATTTCACCCTACTGGTAGAGCTAGAAAGATATGTCGTGTTCATGATTTAATCCACGAACTTATTCTTTCGAGATCCGAGGAATTAAGCTTCCAACACGTTCCAATCACAGCTTGTGCAAATCTCGAAGGGTTTGCTCGACGCCTCTCAATCTATAGCAAAAGAAGCGATGCTGCAAAGAGAATTAGTGACTGTCGTACACGTACAGTTTATTTTGTTGAGACCAATGAGCTATCAATGCCCTTGATGAAAGCAATCTTTGCAAACTTCAAGTTCTTGACAGTGCTAAGTTTTGAAGGTTGTGCTATAGATTACATACCAAAGGAGGTCGGAAATGTCTTGCAGTTGAGGTATTTGAGTGCAAGGGACACAAAGGTGAAAGAGATTCCCAAATCCATAGGAAAGCTGAAAAACTTGGAGACTTTGGATTTGAAACGATCCCAGGTGGTTATGTTGCCAACTGAAATCAACAAGCTCCGTAGGTTGCGTACTCTTCTTGTCCACCCCAAAGGTCAAAATCGCATGCTAGGGATGAAGCCAGTGGATGGTATTGGGAACCTAGATTCCTTATTAAAGTTGTGCTATGTGGAAGCAAACCTTGGCAGTGGTTTTATTACGGAGTTGGGAAAGTTGAAGCAGTTGAGAAAATTAGGGATTGTGAGGTTAAAAACAGAGAATGTTACCACTTTGTGGAGTGCGCTACAAAATATGAGCAACCTACGGTCATTGGGTATATACTTACTCGAAAAGAAGGAATTTCTTGACTTGAAATCAATGCCTTGCCCCTCTTCCCTTGAATCTCTGGGGATATTAGGGCGACTAGAATCATTGCCAGATTGGATTCCCAAACTCAAGAATCTACAAAGAATTGTCTTATTGTCTTCAGGATTGACGCTTGATCCTTTGACCTCTCTTGGAACTCTTCCTAATTTGTCAAAACTTACCCTGAACAAAGCATATGATGGAGACTGTTTGCACTTCAAGAAGGACTACTCATTTGGAAAGCTGCAGGTGTTAAGTCTTTGGAACTTGAAATCACTGACTGAGATAATCATAGAGGAAGGGGCATTGCCCCTTCTCAAGAGCCTTCGAATTGGGCCTTGCCCACAGCTAAAGGTGCTACCCTCTGGCATTGGCCATTTGCAAAATCTTGAACGTTTAGAAGTTAGGGACATGCCAAGAGAATTTGTGCAGACAATGTTACCTGATGGAGGCCGAGACTATTGTAAAGTCAAGCATATACCACTTGTCCTTTTCATCTACATGGTCAGAGAAGGAGGTTTGTCTTACAAGCTCCATGATCCAAACATCTCCAAACATCTTCTAGACGAGACCTATGTCTAGAAATTGATGATAGAATATTTTCAGCATATTTTCCACAATTAAAGGTACCACCTTCTCAAATACTGCTATCAATCAAGCAATATAGTATTGTTGCATATTTGTATTGTGAAAGTTAGAACCAAGAGTCTTTTTTATGTAAAATAACATTAGTCTTTCAGCCTGGACTTTAATTTTATATCCGAAAATTTCCCTCAATTTTGCTGCTTTCTGATTTTGTAAACGTACCACACCCTGCATGGTTTATCTGATATTTGATTTTGGACTCCAGGAAGTTTATTGGCCTAAGTAAGTGTACTACACTCAACACTTTAGTTTCAATGACTGCATCTATATCGTTCAGCTCTTTTCTGTTTCAAACTGTATTAGGTCATGCTCCAGCCGGTTATCTTCTAGTTTCTGATGTTAACAGCTTCTTTCTGTTTCAAAACTACCTCCGCCATCATGCTTCAGCACATTATGTTCCAGTTTCACTGTCTGCTGCTGTCATGAGGAAGTTGCAAATGTGATCATCTATGCCTTCTTCACAAGATTTTGTGATTCATCACTGTTTTTTTCTTGCTATTCTGCTCCAGCCTCTTTTGCCAGCTCTGTTTCTTATTCAGCTTGGTGTGTTAAATGGACTTCTCTGGTTTAAGTTTGTAGTTGTTTAAAGCTCTGTTTCAGCACCTCCTGCCAATCACAGTTCAGCCTCTATAGCTAGTTTTTTGGATTGGTTTATCTGTCTTTTAGTTTGTGCTGGGCTCTACAAGGTCTGAATTCTTTGAACTGTAATGTTTTGGATTTTGAATCATTCTGTGTAATCCTAGTGCTTTAGGTTTTCCTTTTCTAGGGATTAGCTTCTGGGTTTGTTTGTATAATTCATATAGGACCTATATATCAGAGTATAGCTTTGCTTTGAGCTTCGAGTTGGTCTTCTCCACTAGTTAATAAAATCCTTGATGTATCTTCATAAAGAGAGAAAGATTCACATACTTAATCCGTACATAACTATTATCATATTCAACTTATGTTATTAGGTTTTTGTATTGTATCCCAAATACATCTATTGCACGATGCTTCGATAAATAGCATACTAATTGTTTAATAATATCATCCCAGTCAATTTGCTCGCAAATAGCATAATTTTAACACCAGTAACTCCTATCCTGTCTACAACTATATTAATTAAAAAATAATGTAAAATCTTGACTAAAAAAAGCCACTTATTCACTAACTTTCAAATCTAAATCATTTATCTTCAAAATTAAAAATTATCAGTAAAATATAATTTGAACTCAAAATGTTGGTAATATGTGATTTGAACATTTGTATAAGTTCAATTATCACATTTCTTTCTCATATAAATTAGGATATTATTTATCTAAAAAAAAATTAGGATATTACAAATAGAATTTAAAAATTACTGCAATTAATCTACATTAAAGAATAAAAGCTTTATTTTAAAAAAAAATTAAAGAATAGAAGTCACGGTAACAAACCCAATATAGTTCTACTGATGAGTGTTCTTTGTTTCTACTTGCCCCAGCTCCAAATAAAAATGCTGCTGGCTGATCTCTGAGAGCATAGTACTCAAATTAATATATACAGATAGATATAATTGTTTAGTGATATTTACCACTAACTAAATATAATATCCTTCAAGGAACTGTAGATATAGTAGTATTTGTGGACAAAAATTAATCAGGTATTCCAGTTTATATATGCTTTAAGGTTCATCTATAAATCATTAAATATACATATAAACACAAATCTATTTAAAATTACTTATCTCATTTTAATGCTTATTTGATTTTATTGAACCAAAAAT